CAATTCAGGTAGCGTGACGGGAATCGCAGCGCATCGTTTGGTGGACGGAACTGGCAGGGAGTTGTTCACGTAAAAATCGAATATCTCGGCAACCAGTGGTCCAAATTTAAAAATCTTGGTACCTATGGAGAGCTGAGGATATAAGTAAGAAGTGCTTTTTTACCGATTTGATTTATCCCTTTTAGTTTCGGAGATATGAAAGGGGTGAACTTACTTTTTGGATGACCCTCGTAAAGTTTTAAAGAAATGGTCCACGATTAGCCCTGCCTGATCTGACCGCTTCGGATCATTTAGACCCAAGGCTTGCTATAATTGGATGCGATGTTATTATCCCACGGGATAGAGTGGATTTATAGGAGTGCGGATTTTTCGGGAAAAGTCGATTTCGGTCTAATAATTTATTAAAGCCAAATTAATTTGGTTGTAATTTCGATTTTTCTGAATCTTGATTCTTAAAATCGATTTTTTCGGGGATATTTCTTCCTCAGGAGCTGTCAGTTGCGCTGTCACAGCATCGTGTTTTGATGCTTGATTTTTGAAGATCGGCTATAAGTAATAAGATCTGTCCGAACACCAACTTTCTACGTTCAATATTATTGAGATATCACGTTTTGAAAAATTCGGTTCATGACGCCATCCACCGCGTTAGTGACGCCCTTGGTTTCTTCCACCTTGCTTTCATCCGAGTTTCACGTTGAGTAACCAGTGAAAATATATGTCCCCCTGACGGATGACAACAAGGTGGAAGAAACGAAGGGTTACTGCCGCGGTGGATGACGTCATGTAACAAATTTCCCAAAGCGCGATATCTCAGGTAATCTTGAACGTAGAGGGTTGATGTTCGGACGGATCTCATTATTTGTAGTTGATCCACAAAAATCAAGCATCAAAGTACGATTCTGTAAGTAGCGCAACAAGTCCATGATCTTTACATCGAAAAAATACAAGAATTGAACTACATTTTGCAATTAGGTGTTATAATTTCTGGTTCAGTTTAGAAACAACAAATACAAGAATTGAACTACATTTTGCAATTAGGTATCATAATTTCTGGTTCAGTTTAGAAACAACGCATGTACCATTAGTTCCTAATGCAAACACGTGTTTTTACAAATGAGTCAGACATTTCAGTTCCAAATTGCAAAATGTAATCAAATTGAGCTGGGTTGTGCTATATCTGATTCTGGAAGATGGTCAATTTAAATTTTTTGAATTTCAATTTTCTTGAGTACAACCTCTTAGACCCATCTTCCTTAGAAGCTCTCCTCAAACCTAATCTTATGTTTTTGTTATTACTATCTGGTACTGACCTCAATTTACATGTGCAGGTCTCCTAAACCATATGGAGCACATGAGGATGGACCCGAAACATCAGTTCGCAGCACAGTATGTCCTTAGCAGAGCAGCTGCAGAGCGTCGTGAGCGAGATATCATGGCTGCAGCAGCAGCAGCAGCTACTGGCGGACTGCCTTTGTCATTGGGCGCATCTCTCGGCCAATGCGCGTCCCCATCGGCTCATTCAGATAGTTCTTCAAATGCTGGAGAGAGACTGTCAAGTGCTGGATCCGAGGCTGGGATTAACAACGCGGCAATGTTGCTCAATAATAACAACAACAATATCAATAACACTGCCACAGCAAAGCTCGCAGAATTGATGTCTGGCCGAACAGGTGGGTGCTTGCAGCTTTTCAAGCATGATTCCGGACTTTGGCATGGTTGTCGTAATCCGAACCATCTTTAATTTGAGAATGTTATACACTTTAATTCGCGAATGATAATGATGGTAGATCATTGAAAATTCATAGATATATGTACACGGTTTTTACTTTTTAATGCCATTGCGTTCCGCAAATGGAGTGATTACTAGTGATAAAAGAAGAAACACTCTTTTTGGGCAGAGGTATTGTCTACTGAAGTGCCTGAATTTTGTAAGATTCTAAGCTAAGGATTTACTAATAATTTTCAACTAAAAAACAAGTAGCCAGCAGAGGAAAGTCTCTCAATTGTCTATCTGTGTGCCACTGTTCTTTAGTTAGAATCAAAAAACAATTGAAATCAAGTTCGCCCTCAACTCGATGGATGTAACTTGAGCAACTCAGGAGTTGAAATAGTTGTATCACCCATTTTAGTTCAGCATGATGTCCAGGAATGAGTGACTTGAATTGTAATCTTCGTGTTTTTAGTAACCTCAGCAAAACAACCATTGCGGTGCTTTAACTTTTGCATCGCTGATTTTTAATGAAACTTCTTTCTTCTTTGTAAGAAGTCAGAGAATAGGCAAACAGATTTTTGCTCCAGTTTGGTGAGGGAATTATTCTAAGAAGTCAGGGAAAATTCAGAGAATTTTGAAATCGGATTGAACCTGCAACCTTGTCTATACGTATGCGCATTTTCCCCATAGTGTAAAGATTGAAATTGGAAGTTCAACTTAGTTTGGAAGCTATAGTTAGTAACTTTTTCTGCTCTCTCACACAGGTGCAAGCAACGGCCACCACTACCTTAGTCCTCAAACTCAGCACTACAATGCAGATGAACTACAAAGGGCAGCAGCTTTGTTGGTCGGGCGACAACAAGCAGCAGCCGCTGTACAGACCTCCTCACCTCAACCTGATTCTCCACGAACAGCAGCTGTTGTAGCGGCAGCAAACCTCGCAGCAGCTATGCGAATGTCGCAGTCAAACGCAATGCAACATAACTCACAAGCATCTAATCAAAGGTAGTCATTGTCTCTAGTAATTTGTCTTTAGGATATTGGGCAATTTCTCCCTTGAATTTTATTAGTGAACAGGGTAAACATTCCTCACATAATTTTGCTTGTTTTCTATCACCAACTGGTGTCAATCCCCAATTTAAACTTTCCTACTGAAACATTATGAATTTACGAACAATTTTTGAGCTTAGCTTAACCACGGATGTGCAAATTCAGGCTGGAGAGTATCCCAAGAGAGATCCGCAACGATAGTGGCTTATTTAAAATTTTGCCACTTTCTTAACCTTGCGTTTAAGTCTCCAAAGTCCATTGAGCTTAATTGGATTATCCTCCAATTGGACTGCATTGTGCATTGGGAACCAGTGGGCTGATTATTGACATTGATAGACAAAGCGATAGACAAAGGAGACATAAGGAGTAAGGAGCGATTTTATTTGTTGAAATGTGTGGTTGTTACAGACCAAGGGGGTAAATGATGGACTAACTAAAGGCTAAAGCATCTCTCACATGAGTTGCCATTGGTTAGTCTATTATCTACCTCCTTTGTCTATTTTAACCACCCGCTTTCACCGATAAGATGCCTGTATATACCTTTTGTCTTTTTTGTCTATCGCCTCGTTTACCAATTCCAACAATCAGCCTGCGGAATGCTTAAATTCACATCTCATCCAGTGGCCCATCCTTGACCTCTTCTCTAGCAATATTTCCATTTCTCAAGCACCGTATTCATTCTTAACGGAGGACTCACTTTCCTTTCTTGGATTTCTTGCAGCAATAATGGAAATGTTCCTAACGCATCATCGGATAGTCTACAAAGCATGTCATCAGCTGTTCAACTAGCCATGGATGCGGCGGTGCGGTCGATGGTTGTTGATGTATCGATGAACCACCACCAGGGTAATCATCATCAGTCAGTATTACACCAGCAGAACCAGTCGTCATCGACGCCGTCCCTACAAGAAGCGTTCTTCCGGTCGCAAGCGGAAGCTCTGCGGTTGGCCGTTACCCAAGCTGTTGTTGCATCCACCTCGACCGCCTCCGGGGATAACGGCAGCAACCACGTCCCTGGCCATAACAGCATTGCTCAATCCAACCTCATGAACGGGCAACATCCATACCATCAGAACCGAGTGACACCCGAACTGACGGAGGCGCTGCGTTTGCAGCAAGCTCTGCGCCTCCACGGAGACCCGCGCGCTCTTGGTTTCCTCCCGAATAATTCCTCGCAGCAGCATCCATGAAAGTTCAGCTACTTTTGATAAGATTTGTTCCTACCTTAACGGTTCCTTCCTGTATATAATCAGATCACGTTTTGTATATGTGTGTATTGCCTGTACACAGCCTTCGTGCAAATCAGTTGCATTCTTGTACAAATACTGTTCAAAATGATTCGTGTCGGTCTCTTCATCGTTCCAACGGCAGAATTTTTCCACCTGGAATCGACTCCTGCTTTTTGATTTAATACATATCTCTTTGTTTTCAATTTTTACGATTTCTCTTTTTCCCCCTACTTTTTTGGTCAGGTGTTTGGCATGAGTAAATACTTTGATTTTTTTTATTTTTTTATTTATTTTTTTTTTTTAGCTCCTCCACATTAATTTTATTTGGCATTGCAGAACTTGTTCAGTTTTTAAAAAAATAATTAAACGAATCTCCAATTTTTCGCTTATTTTGGTTATGGCACTTCTCTAATCTGAAATTATTATTTTTGAATAATTAATTGATTGAGGATTATTGTGTATCATTTGATGCGAAGTGCTATCAATTCAGGCTCATTTATGTGAAATCTCACATAGCTGTAAGACAGCTGATCCTGGAAGTTTTGTTTGAAACACTAACAGTTAAGCTTATTCTCCCATTACAAAACTGTTTAGATCATTCTCTCTCGATTTACTTATGCCATTCACTAAGAACAGGGTAACGTTTTAAGTTTTCTTCATGGAAGTGATCCTTTTCGATAATTTCCCTGTACAATTTCAGGGTCCTAATTGAATCACAAGTCAGTGCTTACGCTAATCACTTTTTATTTTGTTGTTGCACTCAAGATTTGTAGGTTGTTTGGGTGTTTTTGTTCCGTTACAATCAAATTTATATTTTTATACTGTTTCCGGAGAAAAGAAAGTTTCGCAGTTTGACTGGCTTGTGTTTCCCTTTGATTTTTATCATGACAAAATTTAACTCTTTGAACTTCTTCAAGAATTTCGAAATTTAGAGATTTGTATTAAATTGAAAAATTTTTGTAGGATATTTTCCCCTCTGCATAGCAAAAAATTGAACCAAAATTCTGCGGAAAACATTTTGTTTGTTGAAGTGTACAAGACTTGGTTGAATTTTCTCCCCTTTTTTATTGAATGTCTTTCACAAAAAATATTCCTCCCTTCATGTACTAGGATAAATCAGTGAAAGAGAAAAACAAATTGCTAGGTTTATTTTGTTGCCTTTCCTTCCCTCCATCTAACTTTGGAGTAATTGCAGACATGCACCTGTTCATTCATGTAAATAAGGTAAATTGTAAATTTTGTGTAAACTGAAATTAAAAATTGTATGTAATATCATTTAATATATTAACCTAGGAAAATTGAATATGAAAAATAGTTGTATATTATTGTTATACTGTTCATGTGTGGCTAGTGAATTTAAATGAAGGAAATGAAAAAAGTTTATATTGGATTCTCTCCCTTTTTTATTATTTATAAATTATTGATTTATTAGTTATTTTTATTTCTTATTAATTTTTTTTTTCTTTTTTTCACCTCTGCTCTTTTTCTTTTTCTCAAAAATGAGGTTGTTGTGACTGATATGATTATTCTTGTTTTATTTTACTTATTTTATATTTTAATGGGGCTTGCAATTATTTAATTAGTATGATTTTGCAGTTTCAATATTCGTCAATTAATGAAAAATATTATCGTTGATATTGTCTTTTGCGAATTTTGTACTCTCCCCAAATCCATTTCAAGTCAACCAACTTTTCTTGTTTTCCTAGTAAAAATTTTAGTTCAAAGCATGAAAGGCGTAAAATTTGAATTAATTTGATAAACGTTTTTTAAACTTTTGGATGCGGAAAAAACGTCAATGGACATTTAAGTTTCTCTTTTCTAAAAAAATTTACAGGCGAGGGAAAATATTTTTACAGCCATCATAGCACACTGTAAGCTTCTTCCGAATTTTGCAGGTTAAGAAACACTACTGAAGTACCTAGTGGAAGTCAGCTTTTCTCAATTATTTACTTTAGACATCTGTCTCTTCTAGCTGTTTGTCTAATCTTTGTCTTAAGATTATTATTGTAGTGCTAAACATTTAAGAAGATATGCACAGTCCCTGGTAAATTTTAACCGCATTCTCTGGTTTAAAATCCGTTTGTTGAAGCATTACCCACACCCAAACATTATTAAGCATACAGAACTTTTTTATTGTAAGAAACATTGCTTCCGCAAAATTAAGTCTAAATCATTCGGGATTCTTGATTAGTCATCCGTAATTATTTTATTTTTGTTTTTGGCTGTGATATTTATTTTTAAACTTATTTAATTAATTTTATTTCTTTCATAACGTATAATCATGTAAAAATAAGTTCTGAATATTTATAACATTGCACTCAAAAGTCCAACTTCATTTTCAAAATATTGTGTGTAATTTGGGTTAGAAATTTATTTTTCTTTCTTTGTGTGTTTCCTCCCCCTTTCGCAAAACGGTAGGATTAACCTGAATATCAAATTTGTTTTGTTTGCCATTATGAGACGATGTGCCTAGTCAATGTCCTTTGGCTTTTTATCCTATCAATTTTCAAAACTTACTTCTGGCTCGTAATTTAATTCCTGATTACGTTCTCTAATAATCTCATTTTTATTTTCTTCCCCCCCCCCCAAAAAAAAAAACAATTTTTTTTCGAGTTTGGTTTTAAATTTGCACGTTATTCTTTGTTTTACTTTAGATCAATTACCTTGGTTTGTTTTTATTTTCAATCCAATTTACGACCAATATTTAAAATCTTCAAAAATCAAAATTTAAATTAGGGGGAGCGCTTAAAATCTATGTCAGTCAATCTAGTTCAGAAACTATTACGCAATAAGGGAAAAAATGATTTCTAAATCAATTCAGGGGATACATAAAAAAACCAAAGTTCTATCGTGCCCTTGGAATAGTCATTAGTGTCAACCCTCAATGCCTGAAGCCTTAAATGAGAATAAATAGTAATAAAAAAAAAAAAATATCAATCGTTCTGAGAGGTGGAAAAATTGCCAACAAATTACACTTTATTCAACAGGCTCTTCTTCAGGAATGCTATTTGAATTTTTCCATAAAATAAATTTACTCTACTTCTACTCATCATCCTTAAAATATGCTATACTTGGACTAACATGTCACTGAATTTTACATTTATTAAAGGCATATTACGTTGTCCCACTGCAGCTCCTAGATGAAGCTATACGATGTGGGAGGTTGACATAACAAGAAACATCAAAGTCACAGTTTTCTTGGTTTCTGGGTACCCTAACGAATTGATACAACTTGCACATATTTATTTTTTTCTGTCTTTTTCATTCCTTTTTTCTCGTATAATTTCAAAACCTCTTATAATGGAGTAGGTGTTCTGTAAAGTACCAATCCGCTTGTTTACATCGTTGATCAACCCTCGATTTTACGCTCAAAGCTAAATTTTCATCATTTTCAAAAATCATTTTTAAGTGCCCGTTTCCTCTAATCAATAAAATTAAATTTAAAATTTTAGTTTAGATTTCGTTTATTGCAATATGATTGAAAATCTCATTTTTTTTTTCAAACTAAAAAAAAATGAAAAAGTTCAATACTTCTTTTATTTATTATTTTGTTTCTGTCGAAAAAAAAAAAATATTTTTCTCAGTCGTATGGCCCCCAAATTATCCCTTATTTTTTTACCAATTCAAAGAATAAACAACACTTTTTTGTCCCTAGTTTGCTTCAAGATTTATTTTCTTGTAATAAACATAATTAATACTATACTCTATGGCTCCCGTGAAATTTTACATTGGTACAAATAAATTCATTTCGCTCAATCATACTAAGAATAGGCTTTTGTGTAAATTGAAGAGCAGCGTTATCAGTATCGGTAGGCTCTTTATTATCTGTTATTTTTTCTCTAAATCATCGCGTCAGTACCTCATGAAAAGTGAAAAAGTTAACAGCTCAGTTAAATTATTTGTAAATACTGTCAGGGTAGCTGCAGTCACATTCTCGCACTTCAATTTTCTCTTTTTTCACACTGGTGTATTTTTCCTGCTTTTCATTTCGTTCTTTTTTTCATTGGTTCTTTTTTTTATCCTTATTTAAATTTCCAAACTCCCTTTTTTTTAAATTCATCATCATTGTTTTTCTCTAACTCCGCAAATGCTGAAATTTTCCATAATCAAATATCAGTATAAATATCAATACTTCACTTACCCTCTTCGACTAGTGTCTCCAAATCTGAAATAATTTACACCGCATATTAAGTCACCAATCCTCTTGAACGGATTTCTTTGTTTTTCTGCATCTCAAAAGGCCCTGAAAAACCCTTAGGTTTTAGAAATTGGACAGACTAGATTTTAGACCATTTCAAAGTGGGTTTCCTAAAGATACCCATGCCAAAAAAGTACAACTTATAAATTAATGTAATCACTGTTGATTTGGAACATCTTTTGCTCACTTTTTCAAATTTATCTTAGTTTGAAACAGTCTTTTTGGTTTTGGAGACTTTCGTTGGAGACTTTTATTCCTACCCCTTGAGCCACAACTGTTTACGTGTTTCGAAGCTCTTCATCAAAATGTTCTTTTATTTTTGTAGATAAAATTTATGATTTGTATTATTTTTATTAAATCTGCTCCGTTTCACAGTCATACCTAATTTATTGTACATAGAACCAAAGCAAGCTGACGTTATGGAATGAAAATAAATTTATATTTTTGTTATTATTACTCTGGGCATTGCTTCTAAGCATAGTAAGTTAACAAATCAAAGCGGGACCTTTGAAATTTTGCACTTCCTCCAAGCCTATTTCTTTTATAATCCATTTTTCGTACCTGCAATATAGTTTGTGCGACTTTCTTGAAAACATTTTAAAGCATCCTCAAAAGTTTCTCTTAATGTCTCTCATACTTATTTAAAAAATATAGGGGCGTTATATTGAATATAACACCCCTTGATTCAGTTTCAAAATAGATGGGCGTTAATTATCTATAATTTGCAACTTTGTTTTTCAACGAAAGCACTTTACCGCAAAGCAAATTTTTTTGTTAAAAAAAATTATCTGCGTGTAAGTTATGATAAGTGGAGAGGAAGAACAAACCGTCACCAGAGAATCAATTTAGCAATGCCCTCTATCTATGTACCACCACGTGAGTTGAAGAAATGTTTTTTTAAAATTTTTTTGGAAAATATATGTTAATAATCACATTTGCTCTTAATGTCTTGGAAGAATGCCCAGAGAGATGATGAGAAAAATGAAGCAAATCTTAATTATTTTGTTAAATCACACTGTGCAATTTATGTTTTTTAAGGTGATCATTAGGTCTTACATTTTTAAAAGCTACCGCTAGAGTCCATGCAATTTATCAATATTAATTTTTGTATTGAATCAAGAATACCTCAAAATCAAGTAAACAAGTGCGCACATTTTTCAGTTCACTGAAAAATTATTTGTGTATTCAAAAGTTTTAAAGTTCAGATCCTCCGAATCTATTATTCTTTTTCTTTCTCTCTTCTTCACTAGAATATTTCAGTTTTGGTATTAAAAAAAATTGAAAGTTAGGAACCTAAAAGACTTATTTTTTATTTTTGTTGTGTCCATTTTACTTTCAATTATTTTTCAAAACATTAATTTGAGATGAATGAAAAATGGGATTCGCACGTAAATTTTGCAATAATTTGCTTAGTACCTTGAAAAAGCTCTAGCCAAAGTCTCTGTGTTCAATTTATGCTCTTAATTATATAAACAATCTTATCAAAGAGAAGAAAAAAGAAAATTTGCCATCTGTTCATAAGTTAATGGAGAAGAAATAAGTACTTCAACTTCCTGTTTTTCTAATTCATTCATGGACAATTTGAAGCTTCGTTTTTACTCTGCTAACAAGGTGAAATTCTACCGTATAAAAATAAAAAGGGAAACAAGTTGAATAACTTTTATCGACCAATTATTTTCATTCCTGGCCTCTTGTTTGTATCTTTACCATAATGCTTAAATTATTTTGCTTTTCTGTATCATAATTCTACAGGCGTTCTCTGAAATGCTCCCACAAATCCACTTCATGGATAAACCCTGCATGTATATGTCCCACATATTCACTTAACAATAAGTTTTCTAAATGTATCAATAGCCCAATGCATGGATTTCCTAGAAATCCTTGCACCATCCTCACTCAACCGAATCAAAGCATCAATAGCCCAATATATGATTTGCTTGACGTAATCATGTGCTCTGTGAGTTTTACAGCTCTACAATAGCCCAATACACGCCTCATACAATATGAGCGTGTACCACATGCATTCAATAGCTCTGTGACAATAGCCCAATACATAAGTCGCCCGACGTGCTTATGTACCATACTCAACTTTGGTATACCATATGGCACCATATTGAGTGATACCACATCAGTATCATATGATAACTATGGTATACCATATGGTACCTTTGGTATACCATACCACACTATGTATTATACTGCTGCAATAGCCCAATACACAATCGCCCTCTGCTGCGATTGTGTACCACATGCATTCAATAGTGCCGCAATAGCCCAATACACAGCTTGCCAGACGCAGCTGTGTACCACATACACAATAGTTCATCTCAACAATAGCCCACTGCATGACCTCTCTTGGTCATGCACCGCATACATATTACTTGCTGTAATAGCCACAAACATGATTTGCTGTTTACAGTCATGTACCATTATTACTCTGCTGCATCAATAGCTCAAATACACGATTTGCCTGACGCTGTCGTGTACCGTAAATTCCACTGGTTTTCATTCGATAATGAGCCCCATTTTCGTTTCCGTTGGTAACATTCAGAGTAGGTCAGTAGAGACCTGGTGATAGGTATAATTTCATCGTTCCCCTTTTGATACTTCTATCAAAGGTCTTCATCAATGAATACGCATCCAGTAATTCATAAACTTGTCTCAGTTTTTTTTTTTTCTTCTCATGTTTTTGTTAATTATCAGTATAGTAGTTTAAATAGTTTCTCATTAATATGTTTTTCTGTCAGGTTTTCGTTGCAGTTTTGTTTTTGACTGTGGCTGCATTGAACTCCTTTGCTGTCTAACCTTTATCAATAGTAACCATATTTCACTCAGTTTTTCTTTAATGCCTCTTAACCCTCGCAGATTTTTGCTTCCTCAGATTTTCTCCCCTACGCCAAGTAATTTTTTCGGGAACCTTGTAAAATCACGGAAATTTTGGTAAAAACATCCTATCCCTGAAAAACGCAAGAAAACAGTGAGAACAACATTGAAAGCAAAGTTAACAGGCGCAACGATTTGGTTACACAAATCCAAGAGCTTGGTGATGGACCATATTCCATTCATTAGAGACATCAATTTACATTCCCTCAATGTTACAATCGTCATGGTGAGAAATGTTCCGATAATCAGATGGTTTACTTCTTTTTGATGTCTTAAAATGCTTTTGATTGTTCTTGCTGTTTTCGACAGGTTTCAAGTTTTAATTCGGGCTATTCAGGACTTTTAAGCTTAATGTTGACTAAAACTGCCCTTAGCTAGGGTGCTTTGACTTACTTCTCTCTAATTCAGTGTTACCTGTTACATCATTCACTGTAATCTGTAGTCCTCTGAACATCTGTATAGTTATCTTATAAACGACTAATGCTGAGGGCACACTCAGCTTATAAGTTTCCATCTCCTTAAGCATACCTCATTATTCACTTTTTTCCTTCTTTAAATAAGACCTTAAAACATGCATTTTCCCGGAAGAAATATGCAAATTTCACTTAGATTGCCTTTTTTTGGGGACTGCTTTGGAGGTTTTTCTCATTTTTTTGATGTACTAAAGTGAAAACTATAGAGACATGCAAAATTTGCAGTATACAATAGTTAAGGGTGCGACTGGAAAAGAGCTCTCATTTTCTTTTAATGTGTAATGAACTTTTACATCCATCGACTTATGCTTGAGTTGATAATTTACCCCAAAGCTTGGTCGTACTGATAATTTTTGTCAAAGCACCCTCTGGGGTCGTACTGCTCAAATTTTAGCTTTTCCTCCTTACAAATTCATTCTCCGCGATTTCCTGTCCCTCCAAAAACAGTGAAGTATTTACATTTAAGAATAGGTCATTTACCATAGTAACTTACAACTGGATTTTCAATGTTTCAATTTTTCAGTTCGCTAGTTTTAATACCCTCTCCGTTAATTTCTGCTTTTGCAATAGTGTTTATTACAGATCTGAATTACATTTGTCAGTGTAATCAATAACATTTATGTTCGGTTATGTTTTCATCTGTATTCGTTGTCGTGTAATTTTACTTTTTCTTCATCGTTGCCTACCGTTCTCCCTCTTATTCCTGCCAAGTTCCTCCTAAAACTGTTTGTCTTATCTTTTAAAATTCATTAAGTGTGGAAATTCGTTATTATGGCAAAGCTAATGTGGTTGTGCTCTCTTTTCACCCATTTTTATAAGGAGGCATCGCAAATTCGAGACTGAAGGCATGAATATGATTGAAAGCAGAAAGCAAAGATCTAGTTTGAGATTTTCGGAAATTCTGCTCTGACTAAAGTTTTCTTCGGTAAAATTATGCAACTAATCCTATCTTTCCGCGGTGAGGTAATTTGTCTAGGCTGATAAGGATAATTTTCGCAAGTTTTTTCCTGCGACTGATATGCCTACATGTATTCCTTTTTTTCTTGATGACAAGTTGAAAGTTTAAAATTTACGTTCCTTCTCGCAACTTCGGAATTCGTCACAGTGTATTTGAAAGTTTCCTTAGTTTCATTCCATTCACATCTTGTGTGTGTGTGTGCATTGCTCACACAAGTTACAAAATCATTGTTTGGATTTATTTTGAATATCAAGAGCTTTCGTTTTCTGCAGAATTTTTTTTCAGTTTCGACTCCCTCTGAAGAAGTACCAAATACACATAATAATAGAGAGTACATATAGTATATCGTGACATTCAGACTCTCAGCTGTCCCAAATAAGGGAATCTCATGATTGGATAAACAGTTATAAGAGGAACTTTCAGGATATCCTTTGTTTCAGTTCAAGTTATTTTAATTCAGAAATAGCCAATAACTTACGGTTACAGCGTATTTGTAATGCAACACTTTTTTTCTCTCGTTTTCCAACATTTGTATTCATTACTATTGTTTCATTTTATATTAATTTCTTACATATATTACTGACTAATTACATTTAATTCACTTATCTTTATTACATTTTAAATTTCAGCTTGATGGTAATGCATCATAATATTACTGCAATAGGTTTAAACAGTCCTTCAATTGGAAATAGGCGATCTGACTCGTGAGGCGTCAGCACTTATGTCAGTCGTATGAGGTTCAAAAATGCACTTCCCACTAATTTACTCATGGTAACTAAGTTTAATTAGGTACCAATTTGGAAGTAGTAAAGTGTAGAAACTTGTTTCTTCTGTGAAAACATTATTTTCAAAAATAGAGGTACCAACTCCTTTATTTGCAAGCATTGTTGAGGAGCCGTTTTTCGGTAACTTGGCAGCATTTTTTGCTAAATAATGAGAAGGTCGTTTAAATTTTCTTTGTGTTTCAAGTACTTACTTAACTATGGTACTTAAATGCAGATAAATTATCTAAGCTGACAAATTCTATCACTAGCTGGCTAATAATCTAGGCTGGCTCGCTTCTCAAAATTAGCCGCTATGATTTTCAAAATGAAGAAACCGATTCAATATCTCATCTCATGATCAAAATGACCCACTCAATTGGTTGCAACTATTTCCAATTGAAATTACACTACACTCTCTCTTTAATTTTTCTGGTTGTTTTTCAATCTCAATTTAATTTAATTATTTTTAATTTTACACACTTACTTTTTCCATTTATTTGTAATAGTAATACAATAGTTTGCAGCATACTTAATGTTTAAGAGATAATCAATAGTACCTACCATTCACAATTTTCCTCTCTTTGTTTTTCAGTGGATATATGTTTCATTTTCCTGTTCTTGTTCTTTTATTTCTTTAAGATTTTTTGCCTGTTCTTATTAATTTTTTGTTTTTCCCTAACTCGGTTGTTTCCTTTTACTGCACTGAGGTTTTCAAGTGTTTGCTGATTTAGACAATTGATTGTTTCTGTTCTCCATGAGTTCTGTCCACAATATTTTGTTCCCACTACCTACTTAATACTTTTTTTTCTTCATGTTTCGTTTCATTCTCCTTTTTTGTTCTTCCTCAACAATATGTACCTTGCTATTTTATTTATTTATTTTTTTTCTTATGAATTTGGGAATTTTTTTTTTACAAAATAAAATTGAATTTTTGTACAAATTTCCCTTAGACATCTCTGTTCCGATTTGGATCAAAATTTAGTCAAAATTTCATGATGTTTGAGGCTCCAATAATTTTCCATGTTTTATGCGTGACAAAAAAGTCAAATTCTTTCACAAATTAACGATTTTCTAATGATTTTAGAGAAGTAAGAAAAATTGTATACACACACTGGTACTGAACGTTCGTGAATCCCAAATTTTTATTCTTGTATTGTTACTTACATTTTTAGTTTAAGATTTTCGATGTTATCTTGTCCGAAATGCGGGCACCTCTCTATCTCTTTTCGAATTATTTTAGTTGAATTACAAAACTAAAATAAAATTTTCTCCCCCTCCTCTTTTTTATCATGTTGTGTAGTTATACTTATTGGTGTATTGAATGAATAAACAAATCAAAATGAAGGAAAATTAAATCACAGCTTTTTCATTTATTATCCTTTAAAACATTTGTTTCAAAAGTAACAGGGCAGTTGTTAGTGCTTTAAGTATAGGTACTGCACACTTAATCATACAAAAAAATAGTGGTCAGCCAGTTCCACTAATTCAGAGAAGCATTCAGATAGCATATCTTGACTCTTCATTCACAGATCATAATGGAATACTTACAAATTAAAGGCGCATACATAAAAAATATTTGCAACAAGTAGAGACTGAAAAGTGCCTGGCAATGGCTCTTGGTCTTGGTGCCCACTTTAAAAACTTAGTAGGTTTATAAATAAGAGAAAATATTTTTTTCAGTTGTTGTGTCTGGAATATCTGGTATGCGTGGCATATCCGATTCAAAAATAAAGTGCAACTAAACGTGCATAGCCCACAATTCAGCAAAAAAAAGGGCAGAACAACATATAATCTTCACAAAAAATATCGACCAGACTTCATTTTGCTTTACCTGTAATTTTGTCATTGCACCTAGGAGAGCATATCGACGGTGAAAGTCGGCAATCACATAACTCGTTTGCGGTGTCTGAAAATCTCCGCCTCTACGTCATTTTTATAAAGGAGAACAAATTTATATTATTTCTTGAAGTTTTTGCAGAATTTTCTTCGCATTGAGAAGAAAAATCATGACAGTTTTAAAGAATTGCCGTTGAGTAGTTTTCCATTTAAAAAATAAAGTATGACAGGAAGTCTGCGACGCGACGTCGCAAACCGAGTTATGTGATTGCCGACTTTCACCGTCGATATACGTTTATTTAGACTTCTGATGTTAGAGATATCCTATCGCATTTCATTTTGTTGAAAGACGAATGGTCATCGCTTTTGTTGCAAATGACAAGGAATTCATCAAGATCGTTCTTTGAACATTTTGCACGTAAATGTCAGGATGATTTTTCCTGAAGAAAAAAAATTAAAACAAAAGACGTCTCATTAAAGTAGGCTGCAGGAGACTTTCATTTTCATACTTGGATACTTAATTTTTTGCGAATTTGAGAACAAGCAACGTTTTCATACATTGAATATACATTTATAGGATAATCGGCAATTTCACGATAAAAATTAGTGATGGTTTACTTCATCAGCTTAGTAGGCAACGATGGAATTAAGTTAACAAGTAAGAGAAACAATCAAAGATTCAGTTAGTGTCACATGTGACGGAAACGAATTTCAATCAACGCCTGGATGCAACTATTCGGGCTCCATAGGTGTCCGTGTTGCATACGCACAAAAGTGAAGGCGTTTTGATTTCGGACACTAGCTACCTCACCAACGGCACTCAGTATAATAGGCGGACAACAGTGGACAACCGGTTGTCCTCAGACAACAAGGAAAAAATAGCGAGGAGGCTTGGATTGTTCGTCACTCACTGAAAATGGTCTCAACGCGCATAAGTGATACCAAAGTTTTTGACTATTTTCAATCAAAAGGGAACTATTTCCCATGGGCTCTGGAGTATATTGGAAAAGAGACGTAAAAATCCGCACTACAGATGAAGCACGAAAGCTTGTATGTTTTCTGACTTTTCAAACAGTCATTCTCTGCGGAAAGATGACGGCGCTATTTTTAATTTTTTCGATCGAATGAGAAAATTTTCTTCTTAGGCTTCAATATATCGTTTGAAAGATAATCCTTACTCCATGTTCCAGGTGGTTAAACAGAAAAGAAGGAAGGATTGGAAGTATTAAACATCCTCTCTCGTCTAGTAGCATCCTGCGCCACGAGGACCGGCGATTTAAACTTGCCTGGATCAAATCAAATTATTTTCCTCATTAAATTAATTCCGATAAGTATCATTGCTTTTTCTCGGTTTTTGATTGAAATAGCTGGAAAAAATTTATTACATTTGAAGTACTTATTCAAAAAATTTGAAAAATTCTGCAACTATTTAGAAGGGAGCATTAGGACACTGTCAATACCTTACAGTTGATTTGAGTTCGTCTAGTTTTAATTATGCCTCTTACCGCTTCTTTGTTTTTAATTCTTCTACACAAATTATCCAGTTGCTAAATACGATCCTAGCTTGAGCGTTCGTACATTATGTGGTCAAAATAGCCGTGGCGGCAAAGGAATAACCCGAAATGGCTAGCAGGAAAGCTGCATCAATACTAATCTCCCATCGCCTTTCTAAGGCGCAGGGATACAACTATTTGAACTCTCCGGAAAGCATGAACGCTTCTTCAATATTTAACTTCCATCGCTATTCTAAGGCGCAGTGATACAACTATTTTAACTCTCCGGAACGCGTGAGGTATTACGCCTCAATTGAAGGCGTTTTTGAATCTTTTTATTTACATGACTAGATTTTCCAAATTGTTTTACATTGTATTGTCGATTTGAGTTCCTTTTATACATACATATGAGTCACTTTTACAGCGCTCTTCGGCGCTCTACGACGCCCAATCGCCACAAAGTTCGGTCTTCCCACAGGTTATCAGGGAGTTGACACTCCCTCATCTCACTCAACACCCCCTGTCGCCAACCTCTCACTGGGCGTCCCCTGCGTCTCCTCCCAGGAGGAACCCAATCAAGCATCTTTTTTGGCAGCCTCTCTTCAGTCATCCTATTGACATGACCATACCAGACAAGCTGTCTGGTCATGACGTCGAACACGATGCCATTTTCGACTTCCATTATCTGACGCACTCTATCATTACGGACCCGATCTCTCCTAGAAATTCCTGCCAACCGTCTCCAAAAATCCATCTCCGTTGCTCTTAGCATATCCTGTGTCCGTTTCTTCAGCTGCCAAACTTCACATCTGTATGTTAATATACTTTTGACTACAGCGTTGTATATCCTCCTCTTGTTATCTTTGGATATCCGCTGATCCCAGAGGATTCTGTATAACATCGCTATAGCCTTCCTTGCTAAGGTGTTCCTTTCCCTGATAGCTTGATCCGTCCTTCCATCCTGGGTCAACCGCACTCCCAAGCATGAGTATTGATACTCCTTGCCGAGCACGCTGATCTTTGGCCACGCCGCTGTAGAATAGATCATAGTCACCGTAATTCTCTGACCCGTGCCCTTTCTTCTTGGTCTCAGTAAGAACAGCGACATCCACTTCAAGCTTCTGGATCTCCGATATCACTTCCGGTAGCTCATTCGAAATGCCTTGGACATTCCACGTCCCAAATATCAATGTCCGTTTCCTTAATTTTTGTCGACGTGTCCGTTTGTTTCCAGTGGTACCGAGGCTTGTTACGTTAGGTCTTTTGACAGTAAAACCTTTTACCGGGGAGTCAGCCCGATGACTCAACCCCCAACCTGGAGGACCAGGGTTTGATTTCGGAGTTGCCTCTCCTAGACAGGTTGCTTTCGCTTCAGCTGAGAGCCCTGTCTGCCCTTCTAGCAGGTGGTTCATACGCCCAGAGGCCGGTGACCATCTCCACTATCCCCTTTAAGGCAGGGGCTACCAGCTGGAGTCCGCAGGATTGCTAAACCTGTGACAACAGTCCCCCATACGGGGAGTTCCTTTTATTATTTAGTTAAATTACTCCAGCTTCTTAATTTTTAATTAGTCTACAAAAATTATCAAACTGCGAAATACAAACCTTGCCTTAGCGCCCTTAAACTACGGCATAAACGGTCGAAACTGCAGTAGCGGCACAGGTAAACCGAAAAACCTCGCGGAACGCCTCATCAATATTTATCTTCCTTCGCTTTTCTAAGGCGTAGTGATACAACTATTTTAACTCTCCGGAACGCGTGAGGTATCACGCCTCAATTGAAGGCGTTTTCGAATCTTTTTATCTACATGACGAGATTTTCCAAATTTTTTTGCATTTTATTGTCGATTTGAGTTCCTTTTAATATTTAGTTAAATTTCTCCTGCTTCTTAAAATTTAATTATTCTGCATAAATTATCAAGTTGCGAAATATAGTCCTACCTTTAGCGCCCTGAAACTACGGCCTAAACGGTCGAAACTGCAGTAGCGGTACGGGAAAACCGAAAAACCGCGCGGGAACGCTACTTCAATATTAAGCTTCCATCGTTATTGTAAGGCGCGCTGATACAACTATTTTAACTCTCCGGAACGCGTGGGGTATCGCGGCTCAATTGAAGGCGTTTTCGAATCTACTTATTTACATGACAAGATTTTCCAAATTGTTATGCATTATATTGTCGATTTGAGTTCCTTTTATTATTCAGTTAATTTACTCCAGCTCCTTAATTTTTAATTAGTCTACAAAAATTAACAAGTTGCGAAATACAATCCTTCCTTTAGCGCCCTTCAACTACGGCCTAAACGGTCGAAACTGCAGTAGCGGCACGGGCTAACCGAAAATTCGCGCGGGAACGCTACTTCAATATTAAGCTTCCATCGCTTTTGTAAGGCGCAGTCATACAACTATTTTAACTCTCCGGAACGCGTGATATTTCACGCCTTAATTCAAGGCGTTTTCGAATCTCCTTATTTCCATGACGATATTTTCCAAAATGTTTTGAATTATATTGTCAATTTGAGTTCCTTTTAATATTTCGTTAAATTACCCCTGCTTCTTAGTTTTTAATTATTCTGCAAAAATTATCAAGTTGCGAAATACAATCCTTCCTTTAGCGCCCTGAAACTACGGCCTAAACGGTCGAAACTGCAGTAGCGGCACGGGAAAACCGAAAAACCGGGCGGGAACAGTTCTTCAATATTTAACTTCCATCACTATTCTAAGGCGCAGTCATACAACTATTTTAACTCTCCGGAACGCGTGAGGTATCACGGCTCAATTGAAGGCGTTTTCGAATCTTCTTATTTACATGACAAGATTTTCCAAATTGTTTTGCATTGTATTGTCGATTTGAGTTCCTTTTATTATTTAGTTAAATTACTCCAGCTTCTTAATTTTTAATTAGTCTACGAAAATTATCAAGTTGCGAAATACGAACCTTGCTTTAGCGCCCTTAAACTACGGCCTAAACGGTCGAAACTGCAGTAGCGGTACGGGAAAACCGAAAAACCGCGCGGGAACGCTACTTCAA